GCCCTTGTGGTCTCTTTCAACTCTATGATTCTATGATTCTATGATAACCAACACCAGCTGAAATGCCCTCTTCTATACCACCGCTGAGGGTACAGGAGCCCTCTCCAGTTTTCAATCTGGCAACCCTGATCCCCATCAAGGCGTGGGAAGTGCAGCCCAACAACATGTAATAATAATAATAATAATAAATTTTATTTATATATGTGCAGGATCACGACCTGGTTAAGCCGACCTACCAGGAAGAAAGCATTCTGCCTTTTCTCAGAGAGACTTTCCTCATTGTTACACCTTCACACCTGCACTCGCCAGGTCCCGGCTCCGTCTCCAGGTATGGCCCCCAAGATCTGCTTTCCCACTTCCTTGCAACCAACACTGGCTCAAGTCCCATCCCATCCCATCCCACACTCCAGCATCTCTAAGCACATCCAAGCTAATGGGACGTTTTATCATGTTTGACATCCCTGTCGGCAGTGCTAATAAAGATGGAAGGAGTACGGAGAGAGATCTTGTAGCACCTTTGAGACTAACTGAACGAAAGAAATTGGCAGCAGGAGCTTTCCTAGATGTCAATCTACTTCCTCAGATGCAGGCTGAACTCTAGGAAAGCTCATGCTGCCAACTTCTTTCTTTCAGTTAGTCTCAAAGGTGCTACAAGATCTCTCTACGTACTGATTCTACAGACTGACATGGCTATATCTTTGAATTCTACGAAGATGGAGGGAGTTTGTGCCAGTATTTAAATAGATCTTCTTTCTCCTCTCGCTTCTCCAATCCTTTCCACCCCGAAAGGGGATTAGAGGCTTTGGGCTGACCAGAGGTCCAGGCTCAGTTCTCTTCTTGTCCTGATGGAGATCCATCCTCCACAACACACACACACACCTCACATTCTTAAACTACTCAAGCGAGGAAGTATTTTACACCTCATTGGCACAGGGGATGTGAGCCGGGTGCCATTCCAAGTTTATTCTGTCACCCGGGATAACTCTGGAGAGCATCTGTGCCACCAGCAGCTCCCAGCACTACCATAGAAGGAAGAACTGGGAGCTGCCAGGAAGATTTGCGAAGGACCAATATAGAGAAAGAAAGTGTGTGCATGCCCATCTGGACTTCCCTTCAATTCCTCTTCCTTCTGACTTCATAACCCTCTCCTTCTGCCAACCCTTCAACCGATTCACACACAGCCTGATCCTATTCATGTTCATTCAGCTGCAAGCCTTGTTCAAAGCATTCCCTGATTTCAGAGCCTGGTTCCCTTTTTCCCAGGCCTTGGAGTGAAGGGGGAATCTCAGGGCGAGAGCACCACCTTGAAAGATATTATGTACGGTCGTCTCTTCCTATCCACAGATTCCGTCTCCATGGATTCAACCATTCATGGATTGAAAAATATTTTTAATAATAATAATAATAATAATAATAATAATAATAATAATAATAATAATAATAATAATAATAATAATAATAATTTATACCCCGCCCCTCTGTTAAAAACAATCGGGGTAGCTTACAAAGATTAAAAATTACAGCAAGAATACAGAATAAAAGCCCCAAAACCCACCCTCCCCCTTTAAAAAAGCATTAAACAGCACATCATAGAAAACAACATAAAATCACAGAGAGAATTAAGATGATCAGAAAGCAACCCTTGATTTTCCCATTTTATATAAGGGATACCATCTTACTGTTGTTGCTGCTGTTGTGTGCCTTCAAGTCGTTTCTCACTTATGGAAACCCTAAAGCAACCCTATCATGGCAAGATTCCTTCACAGGAGGTTTGCCATTGCCTTCCCCTGAGGCTGAGACTTGCCCAAGTGGGTTTCATGTACTACCCCATTGTATTTACAGTAATAATATAATAATAATACATTTGATTTTTATACCGCCCATTGGTAGTCCAATCCGGGCGGTTTACAGCATAACAATTACATATAACATAAAACAATATTTTCCCTCCCACTTAGGCTAGGCCCGATGGAGATGGGCCTGCATCTCCAACCAAGATGACGTCGGATGGAGTGGAGGGAGGGCTCCTCTTCTTATGCTTTGGGCCTTGGTATCCACTGGCTCCAGGACCTCCCGCGGATGCCAAAATCTGTGGATACTCTCAAGTCCCATTCTATACAATGGCAGAGTAAAATGGAGTCCCTTATATAAAATGGAAAAACCAAGGGGTTTCTTTTTGGTTTTGGTTTTTTAAAACAATATTTTCAATTTTCGATATTAGAATCCACAGATATGGAGGGCTGAATGTAATGAGACTTGAGCATCCACAGATTTTGGTATTCACTGGGCGTCCTGGAACCAAACCCCAGCAGATACCAAGGGCCTACTTACGTATCTGCCTCATTTCTTTGACTTAGGGTTTTTTGTTTTTGTTTTTAGCTTGAATGGAGCACTCCGTGTAACTCTGGTTGATGCCGAACATATCAAAATGCTATCACCCGGAGCTGCCCTTGTGAGATCTCTTCCTATATGAGCCTAACCTAGCTTTAAAATCTTCAGGGCAGAGCTTCTCCCACTTGATCCCATTACCAAGACAGGTGAGGACTCAGGAGATGGCTTTCGTGGTGGCTACTCCTGGGTTATGGGATTCCCTGCTCTCTTTTTGCTGGCAATTGTAGATCTTCAGATTTTAGCTGGTTGGGAAAATGCAACAGGTGAGCTGGTTCTTAATGTGCAAGAGGTTTCAGTGTTCTTTTAACTGTTCTAAATTAATGTTTTTAAGTGGACTGTCATTTAACAAGTTTTTAATGTTTGTATTAAATTAAAAACAAATTAATTTTGCATTTTGTATTGCTTTAGCCAGTAGTGCTATGACAGTGTAGTGCGATATTGCCTGATCCATCCTCAATATGACACAACCCTTCAAATATTTAAACAAAGCTATCATGTCACCCCTTAACCTCCTCTTCTCCAGGCTAAACATCCCCAGCTCCCTAAATCACTCCTCATAGGACATGGTGGTTTCCAGACCTTTCACCATTTTGGTCACCCTCCTCTGGACACACTCAGCTGGTCAATATCTTTCTTGAATTGTGGTACCCAGAACTGGACACAGTATTCCAGGTGAGGTCTGACCAAAGCAGAATAGAGGTTTACTATGAAGAACAGAGGAGTTTTATGACTTCCCTTGATCTAGAAACTATACTCATAATGATGCAGCCCAAGATCACATTGGCTTTTTTAGCTGCTGCATCACACTGTTGACTCATTTTCTACTTAGATGCCAGGAGGAGACACAATGTTGTTTGGTTAAAGCACCCGGGGGGGGGGGGTTGTGGGCAAACAGGTGAGAGGATTGGGACTTAAACCCAGTGAGGTATGTGCCTGCAGCTCTATGATAAGTCACCAGGAATGCCAAACTTGAGCTTTGAAAAGTTACTTTGTTGGGACTACAGTTCCTAGAATTCCCTAGCTAGTAGGATGCC